TTAATCTGAATTGTACAGCATGATTAAGCTGGTTTCTATTGCAATTTAGATAAGATATATTAAATTTTTAATTTCTGAACTTTTTATTTTCAGTAGAAATAGTTTTAAATTAATAACATGAAAAAATAAAATATTAAAAACAAATGTGTTTTTATAGATATCAATTCTATGAGTGTTTACCTTGATATAAATATATTAAATATGCAAAAGTCTTTTCTGTCTGTCACAGCCCTGTCACTGTGATTTTCCAAACTAAATTTGCTAATATATACTGCTTGTAAAATTCAATGACCTACCCATCCAACACTGGCCAGTACCTCTGTCTCTGAGCGATCTAATCTATTATTTAATAACTGAAATTATATTGACGAATAGTCTGAGAAACAGTCTTCTCATGTTTCACTTACGTATTTTACCAAGTGCACTTGACTACATTTGAGAATCAGTCCACTCAGTTTCTTTGTACACATTTTTATGGGGAAGTCTGGAGAATTCAGAAGAGATTTTGTGGGGGAAATTGTTAAAAAGAAATATAATAACTTAAACAAGAAAATCGTAATTCCAGGGGAATAATTTATTTTAAATTTCTAATTTATACATTAAATAATATGTTAAGTAGCTTTTCCCCAAATTCCTTTTCTCAGACAATTCCTTTGTGTCCAATATTTGCTGTGTTTTAATTATACTATGCAATGACATAATATATTAATATAGGAAAAGACATTGATTATAATGGTATCAGAAACAATAATTTCCTAACTTCAAGAAAATAAATGGTTTGCATTTAAGAATTCTGATATTTTCATGAAATTATTTTAATTTACAGAGACTATAAAAGGGAGGACCATGGAGAACAGCAGTATTAGTTTTTCTTAATAAAGTTAACAACTGCGCTTTAAAACTATTCTTGATACATGATTATACAAGTGAAGAAATACATTATTATTTTAAAGTTTTTTCTAAAAGCCCTTTATTTGGTGATTTAAAAGTGAAAAAAATCTCACCCTGGCTGGTGTGGCTCAGTGCATTGAGTGCCAGCTTGTGAAGCAAAGAGTCCCTGTGGTTCGATCCCCAGTCAGGGCACACGCCTGGGTTGAGGGTGAGGTCCCAGGTAGGGGGTGCGCGAGAGGCAACCACACACTGATGTTTCTCTCCCTCTCCTTCTCCTTCCCGTCCCCTCCCTCTAAAAATAAATTAAAAAAATGTTTTTTAAAAAGATTATATGAGCTAATATATGTAAAACAATTAGAATACTTTCAAAAATGAAAAAAATCTCAATAAAATATATTGAAATAAATCAATATTATTAAAATTGTAATTTTTATGTGTGAGAGGATTCAGAGTAAATATAAGCAACTTTAACCTTCATAAGATAATCATATAATGTTTAACAGAACTCCAGAAAGGACTTAAAAGAAAAATCAATATTTTTTCTGATAAAAATATAATACATGCTTCTGTATTATTGTAAAAAACAAGAACACACAAACATAACTACAATTATATCTCATAACTACAAAACCATTTATAGCACAGATAACATTTACTGTGTACACATCTATGCATATATCCCTTTACCTATCTTTCCTCTCAAAATAAATAAGCCTTTTTTTCTTTTGCTTAACATTTGTTATTTAAACTTCGAATAATTTTTAACAACTATAGCATGCATATATATGTATATATTTTCAACATAATCACTCTCATTACTATTGTAACCATTTTACTATTGTTTCCAGATTTAGATATTACATGGCATTTCTATAAAAGTCAATATCAATAAATTCTTCACTCTACCCACTAAATATTTTTGAGTGAGTAATGAATGAAATATTTACACATTTCCATGTATTCCTCACCTTAATTCATACATTTAGTTCACTGTCTTTCTGTCAGTTTGTCATCATCTAATCTTTCTACTTTTTACATATCTACAATTTGCTAGAAATAGATGTGAATTGAATTCCTGAAAAAGATATGCTTACAAAAATAATGTGTTATTTTCTAACATTATAGAAAAGGACCTATATTTTTATAAATAAAATTAACCTTATAGATTGTTTAATTTGAGGGTTCTTAATTTAAGATAGGAGGGAATATTCAAATCAACTGAGAGATTCTTTGAGAAGACGTTCTCCCCGTTGTGTTGCAGGGCTTTGTTGGTGGCGGAAGAGGCTCCCGGGTAATTCTGATTGTTTCAAGGGTCAGGACCACTCTGTAGTCAAGAAACAGATGCCCAACAAACAGTTAACTGGCCCGAGTTTGAGATGTTACTAATGCAACAGAGTAGAATCAGATCCGCTGACTTCTACACTTTCCACTGTGTCTTTCCATGACATTCTGTATGTTTTTTGTAATAGATACTATTTTTTGAAAAAAGTTTCAAGTTTCTGTAAGCTTGAGAACACTATGTTAAAACAGATTTTTAGTAGAGCTTATTTCAGAACATTTGATAATGCCAATGTACTTTCTTATATTCTCTTAATAGAAGTATATAACAGGCAGCATTTTCCTAGTTTATTTCAGGATGGAGGTAACCCCTAGCCTAGAGTATGATGAGAGACCGTTCTTTTGAAGCATCCTTTGACAAATATTATTCACCATATTACCATGGGCATGCACTGTAAGACTAAAACTGCCTTATAGGTGGAGGGTAGAAAATTTAGGTATCCATTAAAATGCTTATAACTAATCAATGCTAATTTTTTCATGACTAGTTCTATTAAATAAAAATGTATGCCTAATTTAAACTATTGATACTTTAAAACTCTGGACTTCCAATTTTAGTGATTATCAGAATCACCTGGAGGGTCTGTTAAACCACTGATTGCTCAGCCCCTCCCATGGTCCCTCTGATTGACTAGGAGCTGAGGGGGCCGAGAGCCTGTATTCAAAAAAGTTTCCACGGGTGCTGACGTTGCCCCCCACAAGGACCACACTTTAAGAAACCACTGTTTAAAAGTAAATTTTGAGACTTTTCATTAATTCTGAATGCTAACTATCTATTAATTGGAACCCTCTTTACACCCATGTTGTTAATGAAAATAGTTTAACATGCCTTTCTCTTATTCAAGTCAATAGTGCCCGGGAATAGACAACCACAAAATAGAGGGTGAATTTTAAAGTGTATTAAAGTTCACAGCTGAATCCAAGACCAAATCCCAGTTATTTTCATTCTTTCCTTTATTAACAATTGCAATCAAGGCGAGTGTATTAGATTAAGCATTCATTTTTGCTCTGCAATTTCTCTCCTTTGCAATCTTCACTTTTTTCATGTCCTTCACATTACACATGCTTAACCTCTGTTTTAGATAAGCATAGTTTGTGATTTTCATATGTAAATATGTTGCTAAATTTTAGACTTTCACACTACTGTTTTGCTATTTTGCATATTCAGTCTGTTAATAGAGGAACAATTATATCTTTGTGGTGTTCTTACAAATGAAAATTAGTGGTCTGTTTCCAAATATTTTTTTATCAGTGACATGTTACAATTCAAATCACACATGTTCTCATGTATGTGCACACACACCCAGTCTTATCTAACTAAACCACAGGTTTCACAATATAATTTTCTCCCTTTTCTACAGTGTACTTTTATATTTCTTTTCTTGATGTTTCATTTAAAAATGATTTGGTCATGGACTATTAAATTGATTTTATTTCCTATTGATCAGTCAGACCTATACCTTTAGAAGCCATTGCTAAATAAATAAGCCTTGTGGCTTATACTTGTGTCTAAATAATCTTTCATTGTTGCCATTTCCCTAGAGAAAAAAATAAATATGTGTGCGTTTGTGTGTATAAAGGTATTAAAATATCTCAAGATACTAATGTTGTCTGACCATGTGAATGTTCAGAGCCTTGTGGAAAGTCAAACACAGTCACTTCTTTATAGACCTGCTGACTTTATGTTGTTGCACATTCTTACAGCCTCCGTATGAAATCGGCTGTCCACTTAAGTCTTTTCCATTATTTATTATTTGCATTACTACAGTGTGCTGCCAAAATAGTCAAGTGTTGTGATTTTCTTTCAGTTTTGTTTTGAGGATGTTACCTTGGAAACATGGAGAACATTAGTCTCTAAGAGTTGATAATTTAGGTCTGAGTTTAATAACAAAAATTAGGGAAGAGTTAAAATAACTATATTTGAACTAAAACAAATAAGATTTAACATAACTAGCTAAAAACAATTGCTCTGGAAATGCATTTTGAGTAAATGAGTGAGATTCTTAGTATCTTGTCAGAGGAGGGCAACAGGTAATTCAGTATCAAAGGTATAGTTTGAAGAGACAGAAAATGAATCTTCAACCTTAGACTTCTGTGGGATTTTTCTGAATCATTATTGATTAGATCTTGGCTCCTACCTTGGGAGACCAATTGTTCAAATTAGGATTTAATTGTATTTAGAGTTACAATAAATCTTTCTTTTTTAAAACAAAATGCCATTCACCTGGGAAACATGCAAAAGTCAAGGAGGCATGAAATAAAGTAATCTTTTATTGCTATATTTTTACAGTCATGTGTACCATTAGTTGTCAAACCCAGGATTATCCTCTACTGCGTAATATAAAGTTGGTAAATAAAAGTGAAATTTCCTTCAAGGGGATAGTTTTAATTTGGTTGTACATAAAGAATCTTATTCTGAAATCGCATATGTGCCTATAACCAATGCCATCCCAATACATTTAATAAAAATAATAAGAAAAAATAATGACACTTACCATGTTTTTTAAATATACATTTTAACAAGCACTGGATGTTGGAAAGCTCTAGTTCTGTCAGGATGACCCTGAGGAGTGACTCTACCATTTAGGAAATTAGGAGAGATGTTAGGTTACAATGTGAATAAATCTCATGCCATCACGGTACTATATTTTAAAATAGTCTTCTAGTTCTTTTTTTGAAGAACAAGCATTTGGCAAATGACATGAATGTGAGAATATCTGTGTTAGCATAAGTTTTAACATTCTGTTTATTGTCCATCTTTTCCTATAAAGCCTGAAAAAAATGACAGTGAGCCAGGCAGCCAGAGGATAAAACCTGTTTTTATCGATGATGCTAATTTTGGACGACAAGTATCCTATCAGCATGCAGCGGTCCATATTCCCACCGACATCTATGAGGGCTGTAAGTAAAAGAGTGTGAACTGTTCAAATACCATGTTCCCATCTGTCTTATGAATGTCATTGCTGTTTCAAAAAGCAGCTAATGTGATACTGTTTTGTTTACATGTCACTTATGAGTCTGTGGTAAACTCTGATTTGTGCAAAGGAAGAGACCTAATTTCCACGAGCTGTTTATGCTCCAGATGGCCTCACTGGATAGATGTGTGTTAGGAGAGTCTGCTCCATGGAGATGTCCTTCCACTGTGTGGTTTAGTCAGTAGTTTTGCCTTTCCAGTTGACATCAAAAACTTAAAAATTAATAGGTATATTCTTTAAAACTCAAAACTATGTAGCACAAATGCGCACATGCAAATATTTTTACACCAACATACAAACTGGTCAAAGAAGAGAGATGTACGTATATTTCAGACTCTCCAGTTCTTTCCACGTCTTGCCGTGCTTTTAGGTCTCCGTCACTCTCTTTCTCTCTGCCTTACCTTGGGATGTAGGTCAAGATACCTCCCTTCCAATATATTATGGACTCAAAATAAAAAGAAATGTTGGGGAAAGGAATAAACAAAAGATCTAAGGAAGCAGAAAACCATTACATGGAAGATTTGATTGAGAAGGCTTCACTGTGAAGAGGGAAGGACGGGAGGGAGGAAGTTGTTTAGGAATGTGCAGGGGAGGAAGCTTGTGTCAGGGATGTTTCTCAGAAACACTTGTATATAATTAAGGCAAAGCATGAGAATTCTAATCAGGAATTCCCCTAAAGACAGCTCAATCATTGACTTGGACTAGCTGTAACTCAGAAAGCTGGGTCTTTGTTCCATCATAGCTCTGGTCTTCGATGTTACTTGTTTTCTAACCCATTCACTTCCATCCCCCTCATACCTGGCCTCCTCACATACAGTGGTAAGGAGAAAGGAGCAGTTAACATTTTTAAAAGTACGTTTCTTGTTTTCCCCTTAATTAGAAAGGCTCTAGAGGGTATTGGGTATCCAGAGTGTATCCAGGGCTGTCTGGATTCTGGAGCCAGATGGCCTAAATTCAAATCTGAATTTTAACAATATTGTTTTCTTAGGGAAATGCTTTGATATTCTGGGCAAGAATTTTCTCACCTGTAAAGTGGGGGTGAGATTACTAACCCCAAAAGGCATGTGAGGATAAAGTAAGTTAATAGATTGCATTACCAGGCTCATAGTGAGTTCGATGTATTTGCTGTTACTCTTAATTACAATTAAAGTTTATTTAGACACAAGATTGAGCACAGGAACTAATATTATAAATTAACTTTTATATTTTGGATTCACTGTGAGATTATTTGTTGTTTAAAAGGGAATGTTAAGTGCATGTATGGTTCTTTTCATAACAAATTTCACCCATTAAAATACTTGATTGTTTTTATTCTTTTTTAATGTTTTAACAAGTACATATTGTTTTCTTTTTATAAATTCTTTAAGCTATTAAATATATGATATTTCTTTACATATAACTGATATAAAATGGTGTGTATAGGTAGTTTCTGATGTTCCATGAGAATTAAGTATAATTTGAACTTTTTACAGTCCGACTTACCTTATTAATTGTTAAGTCCTTTTAGAAATTACCTGAGATTTGGATGCAGATTTTTTTTAACTCTGGCCATGTTGTTTATTACTGAAGAATTATTTGATATTTGCAATGATATTTTATAACTATTATAGCAACTATTTAGACAATACTCACCTCTGTGGTTATGTTTTTCATTTAAAAAATGTTTCATCCACCTTATTTTGTCTCAAATTTTATCACCTATTGTTTGTTGGCTATGTAAACCAGATAATACTCTTATTAATCTAAAATTATGTCCTTCTATTGAAATTACATTAAAATAACAAACTAGATGAATGGGTATACAAATTCTGAGTCAGAACAGTCTTTTGCCAATATCTATGGATGGCATGGCTCTATTTCCCAGCTTGTATTACTATGTTGAACAAAGCTGAATGCAACTTGAATGTTTTTATTGTGCTGGAGAGCTTTTATGATTGTGTTTCTGTTTTGTTGCCTCTTATAAATCGATGGTTGTTTCTGAGAGCTTTGCCTCGGCACTGTTTTCCTCCCCTCTCTTGCTCCCTTCCTTGGCCAGCCACAGCCCCATCCTGTGCAGGATGCGGACACCCTTGCCTAGTAGAACTTGAGGAGAGGAGAGCCTGAGTTTCTTTTCTTAGCTGTATGGCACCAGACACACCACCTTAGCCCTTTCATGGTACACAGACTCCGCTGCCCTTACCCCACTGGCCTATTCTCACTCTAGCTTCAGTCTCCCTCTCTTCAGATATACAAAAATATTTAGTGAGGGTCTTCACACTCACTTCCACTTATATTCAAGTAAGCAGCAGTTTCTTTGCCACTCTAAGGTGAATTTCTTTGAAGTTCAGGCAGTCCAGTAGTAATTACCAAGAAATCCTTCCATTTTCTATTAAATTCTCAATGAAAGATATCAGAACTACTTCACACATTCTTCTCCTAAAATCCATGTACCACATTGGCAATAATTTCAATATCATATACATATTTAACATGTATGTCATAGGAAATGAAAATCTCCTCCAAAAGCTCCTCCTGAAACTAATCATGGTTAACAGTTTGAGGCATAGATCTATAGAATATTTTTTAACATACAAACACTAACTAAATAACCCAAATGGTATTTTTCATAATCTTCTTCAGTTGCTGTTTTCCTCCAACTTATAACAGAAATATTTTTGTTAAACTATTAAAAGGCTGACTGTAGACAAAAAAGAAAATTTTGCTTCAGGAGTAGGTTACCCAGAGAATATAAAACAAAATTACTTGGCTTAATTTTTCAATGGAATGCTATTTAAGAGGCAAAAATAAGTGAAAAATATACTTATTATTTTTTGCATAGATAACTAGAACAAAAACTAATTAAAACATAATTTGCCAGAGTGATAAGTTACTTTGTGCATACGTTTTACAAATACCAAAGGCCGATAGACCCTATAATTCCAGTGACCTGATTAATAATAATAATAACCATTTATTGAGTTTACTAGATGCTTGACTTCATGCTAAGCTTTCTTAATATAATATTTTATTTATTTACTATAACTTTGTTAAAATAATGGTGAAAAAGGGGAAACCGAAGTGGAGTTTTTTCTAGTTATTGCCATATTATTCTTCATGTTTTTTATCTTTTTTATTTCTTCTTAAAGAAAACCATTTAACATTTCATATAATACTGGTTTGGTGGTGATGAACCCCTTCAGCCTTTTCTCACCAGGGAAGTTTTTCTCTTTCTTTTGATTCTAAGTGATAGCTTTGCTTGGTACAGTAACCTTGGTTGAATGTCCTAGCCTGTCATCACTTTGAATATTTCTTGCCAATCCTTTCTGACATGCAAAGTTTCTGTTCAGAAATCAGCTGACAGTCATATGGCAGCTCCCTTGAGGGTAACTAACTACTTTTCTGCTGCTGCATTTAATTCTTAAAAACCTCTCTTTATTTTAAACCTTTTGCATTATAATTCTGATGTGTTAATGTGGTCCTCTTTGTGTTCATCTTGTTTGGAATGCTACCTGTTGTGTCTATCCTTCACCAAGTTAGGGAAGTCTTCTGTAATTTTTTCAAATACATTTTCAATTTCTTGCATTCTTTCTTCTCCTTCTGGTACCCTCCATGATGCAAATATTGGTACACTTGAACTTGTCCCATAGCCTTCTTATACTATTCTCATTTTTTTATTATATTCCAATGGGGTGTTTTCTGCTTCCTTGGATTCTAAACTACTGTTTTGATTAGTGGGTTTATCTACTCTACTGTTGATTCCCTGTATATTATTCTTCATTTCAGTTAGTGTATCCTTCATTTCTGACTGGTATTTTTTTATACTGTTGAGGTTTTCACTAAGTTCATTGGTCATTCTTAGAATGAGTGTTTTGAACTCTGCATCTAGTAAATTGTTTGTCTCCATTTTGTTTAGTTCTTTCTGTGGAGTTTTTTTCTGACCTTTCATTTGAGCCGTATTTCTTTGTCTCCTCATTTGGGCAGCCTCCCTGTGTTTGTTTCCATGTATTAGAGTTTCCATGTCTCCTGGGCTTGGTAGAGTGACCTTATGTAATAGGTGTTCTTTCTATAGGGTCCAGTGACATAGCTTCCCTGATCACTCAAGCTGGTACTCAAGATGTGTCCCCTCTCTGTGGACTACACATCCTCCTCTTGTAGTTGAGCATTCATTGCCGTTGGAGCATAAGTGGGGTGGATTTACTCCCAGGCTGATCAGCTGTGAGGACTGGTAAGGACTGGTTGTAACCACTGACCACTGACCTTGGACCACCGAGGTCCAAGGTCACAGGGGCCCACCCCTCAAAGCAGGACTTACTTCAGTAGGACTCTGGTGCCCACTGAATTTGTCGCTTAAGTGTGTCACTTGTGGAGGTGGTTGGGTGATGGTGCTTTGATATAAAGCTGTCCACTGTGTGTGCTGGTTCTGGGGCCTCCTGAGAGGTACAGACCAGTGTCAGCCACTACCTGTGTTCTGCCTAGGACCACCCGGGGTGAACTACAAAGCAATCTGCAGATGGCTGCTACTTATGCTGGGCTTGGAAGTGCCCAGGTGAGGCCAAGTTGTGAACCAAGACTGGCTGCCTCTAGTGCTTGTCCTGGAGCCACGTAAAGAGTGGTACGAGGCACACTGAAGCCAGATGCTGCTTATTTGAGAAATTTTAGGAAGATCTGAAGCATAAGCCAAGATAAGCCATTTGCATGGAAAAGACACTCAAGCAGCTTGGATAGGCCTGAAAGTTGGGTGGTGTAGGGCCTCAGCAAGTCGCCAGGGAGGGTCAAACAGTGTGTGCCAAATTAACGGAGACTCAGATATGCACTTCTCTTCCATCTCTGTAGGGAGAGGACTCAGAAAATGGCCTCCATCAGCACATTTTTCTGGGAAAAAGCTGTCCCCTCAGCTCTTGTCCTTATGCCAGACAATTGAGTTCTTCCCATGTGTCTCTGGTACCA